ATAATGCAACACTATATATATGTATACAAGCAAGATTTACAACACAATTCACTTTCTCATATTCACTTACATCTATACATCTTAGTTGGCAAATTAACTCTACAAATCTCATTCAAATGGTAGTTATACTGCTACCAAGTGAGGCTACTCTTTCCTCGCTTCCTTTCCTGACTTTCTCGCACTCTCTTCACTTATGTTCAAAAGTAACGAAGTGAGACATATGTGCCAGTAACTCAGAGGTAATCCCAATTATTGGTTAAAAGTAAAATCATAAACAAGCAATAAAGTAGCATGTGTATCAATAAAAGCAATATCATATGCACAAATAAGAAGTAAGTCTCATCAATCTCGTTATGCTCATGCAATGCATTCTTGGTTCCCCTACCAGAGTAATCTCTATACTCAGACCAGAATTTCCAGTCACCAAGAACAGGGCCCACCATACCACTTCTTAGATCAGGTAATCATCTTTACGTATAGGTGGTCTCCTAGGTCCATCATGGCAAAGTCAAGCTCTACGCTCTGGATCATTAGGACTTCCTAACCTTATATAGAGTAGGATCACGACCCCTTACCCTAGTCTAAGGTAACCTCATAGATCATTCGATATCCTAGGTCCGTTATGGTAGAGTCAAGCTCTACGCTCCAGATCATCAGGATTCTTCTCCTAAGTTTGTGCTAGTAGAGTCAAGCTCTATACTCTGGATCATCAGGACTTCTTGAACCTCCTCACGGTAGAGCCACGTCCTCCTACCATAATCTAAGGTATATCTTATGGATGCAATGTATGTCAATGCATATACCACTTCAAATTCATTTTAATCAATACTCACACACCCGTATGCATATACTTTCATAATGTTGCTACTCTATCAGTTCATAACACAATACATGTAATTATAATCAAAAATAGGGTTACTCTAGTTACAACCCTTGCTACTAAGGGTTACCAATCACACTAAGCTCCCAGGGGCAAAGATTCTCATGAGCAACCTCACAGGTGCTTAATCTACATAACATAGTGTATCTCAGTCAATTCTCAACACTTTTCAAAAGTATTGATTCGACTAAACCAGATTCCTTAACACATAAAACAGTTCAATAGAACCCTTTGAATCTACTTATCCATTATTTATAGTCATTAGTATAGGCTACTTAAATAGTCATTATAACCTCCTAACACATTTATTTACCTAATTTCTCAATTTCAACCTAACTTTTAGGCCATTTTGAGCTTAAATTCTCAAAGCACAACCATTCAACTCCATGCTAGTCACAAAACCTTAGTTCTATATTCGATAGCCCATTTTAATCCTTTCTTTAAGATTACAACACCTTAGAATCTCATGATTCAATTTTTCATTCAATGAAATTCAATGAAAAAAGGGTAGAATTGAAGTTTGGGATTGTGTGATACTTACCCAGTAAGTTATCAATCAAAGCAGACTTTTGAGCTCCAGTTATGGCTTGCCCTAGTAGAGATTGACTCCTCCTCCTCCTCTCCAAATGTGGTTCTAGCCCTTCTTTTACTGATTTCATGAGCTATTCACATCAGTTTAAGTGATCCCTAGACAATGCGTCGTGGCGTATGTAGCTTCTACCATGACGCATGGCGCAGTGAGTTTAACCTCACTTGTGCTCGCACGTTAAGTCCTGGATTATCTTTCTACCCTTCAATCCTAACAATGTAACACCCAAACAACATAAAACATTAACTCAACATCCAAACCATAAACAATCTACTAATTACTAATTTACCCTTAATTAACAACTAGTTTCAAGGATTATAACTCAGGATGTTACACTTTAGAATGATTGATAGTTTATTATGATTTATAAATGAGTATGGGTCATAAGGGAGTATAGGGATAAATTGAAAGTTGTCAAATGATTTAATTAACTAAAGTGTATTTGAAACATAATTGGTTAGAGTATTATCTTTATTATTGGTTGGATTGGATTCAAATGTATAGCAAGTGATTAAAAATTTCTTGATAAATGATTTTAGAATTATGATTTATTTGTCAAGAAATTAAGAGCACCATTAGAGTTAAAGTCAAAGATTAAGAGAAGTACACTTTAGAACTTTGGGAAATAATTAGGTGAGTGGGTAGCGTTCCAAATAAATTTCTAGTCAAGTGTTTATAAAATTATTTATTTAAATTTTACTGTTATTCTTTATAAATTGTACAAATATCATTATTAATCCTATTTTTTTCTAATAATTGTCTTATTAATGAAAATGTCATGATTTTACTAGTGACTTATATTGTTGATAAGTAATGGTTGAAATGTACATATGATAAATCATATATATATTTTTTAAAGTAGTTTAATTAATGAACTTCATGTTGATATAAAATTTTTAATGCAATGATTCATGTATATATGGAGGAAATAACGATAAAATTGGACAATGAAAGTGATGGTTGAATGGTGTTTGAAAGAGAAAATTTTGAAATTGCTTTCTTACTCCACACATGCTTGATTTTATTGAGGAGGACTAAGTTCAAAATGCTGGATGCTAACGGTAGTCCCACTAGCCCTTGGCGCACCATGGTGCACATAGCTAGCAGATTGCTTATTAGAGGTGCTAGCCCCGTGCTATAGCCAATACACGTGAAACGAAGGGATGATTATTCATGAGCATCGTACTCACACTTGTTTTCATAGGCTTCATACTTGTGCTTGATTCATGGCTTCAACCGTGCTTGTTTCGTGGCCTTTAGCTGTGCTTGATAAGTTACTTACCCTCGTGGACTGTGTGTCCATGCTTGATTGGTTACTTACCCTCGTGGACTGTATGTTCACGCTTGTTATTCGTTCTAATAAAGCCCTCCTAAATTTAAGTTAAAATTTCATTTCTCAAGTAATTCTCTAAAAAGTACTTTATCGAATTGCACTATTATTAAAAAATTTCTATTTTATGAACAGTAAAAATTTTAATACATTCAAGTTATCCTAATAACATTAATTAATTTCACGATTATAGTATAAAAAAATCATTACTTATTTCAAGCTTAAGTATATTATTCAATATTTCATTAGGTCCTTTTTAATTAAATTTATTATTTATTAACTTCATATTTTCTTTATTATAATTTTGATTGGGATGCTATTCACTAGTAATTTCTTTGGTCTCAGATATTGTAGCTGACCTACACCTCCAATAGATCGTTTAAGGGGCCTTTTTCTTTTTGAAAATAGGAAGTCTATTGTGATTATTGTGTTGGTAAAACTATATATTTTATTTTGTAATTTGTAATCAAAACTTAGTGCTCTACGTGCACCATAGTTAGGTTCTAGTCATATTTTGTTATTATGTAAATTGTTAGAATGGTGCTAGTCTGCTTGTTGGTTTGGTTGATAGGTTCTATTGTTGTGGAAATTTTGTAAGGTCCAAATTATAAGGGAGACTCTGCCAAAATTTCTACAAAAATTTAAAAACTTTATGAACTTTAATATTATATATAACTTACATATATCGATATTTTAACTTAATTTTTGGTTAATCAAGGCTTATGAATTATGAGTTCACCTCATATTTCATGCCGATCATGCCTATAGTATTAGGGTGTGACACAATAAGCCCTATCACAATGAGCACGAATGCACACACACAAACACACACACATATATTAGCATGTGTTAATAAAAAAATAACTTAATTAAAAAAATCAAATGTGATTAATACCAAAAATGATTCACCCATCACAAAATAGTGCCAAGAAAATTTTATTCTCCCTGATTACACATTGGGCTAGGTAATTAGTGATATCATTTGTTTTCTCTTCTCACTGCTCATCATCCATTACGCCTGCCTGTGAGAGGAGGTAAAGTGCAGATTTATCAAAATTACCATATTTGTAAGACACATAGGTGCTATCATCATATTGTGCAAGTGCCTTATACATCAAAATAATAATTAAATCAATAAAAATTGTTAAATAAAAGTAAATTATTGAAGGTAGTTTATCAATAAATGTGTACCTCATAAAATAATTGCAAAGAGATGTGCTTGCCTTTATATGGTTAATAACCTCTTGCAATCTCACTATCAATGTTATCCCATATGCTAACATTACTATAAATCTCCTTCTCAAATGATACCATGACACCATTGTAGGATTTTGCATAATGATGTAACATTTCACGGTTCTTTGTGGAGAGTGCTTGAACCATTTGAACCTAAGGGACCTTTAGTGTAACTACCTTAGCCCTCAATGCAACCTTCGAGGTAGCCACCATTGCCTTCAATACACCCTTTGAGGCAAGCCCTTTGAGGCAAGGCTTTGCAATAGGCTTTAAGGATGAAGGTGAAGAGGTAGGCAACGGATATGTGATTAAAACTTTAGTCCCCTTAAAAGTATTCTTGCTCTTGCCCTTGCCCTTTAGGGATAACTCTAGTAACTTGTCAACATGATATAAACACATTGTTAGTGATTAATTTGAAAAGAAAGTACAATGATGAGAAATATTTAATTAATTTACATTTTTATTTGGTGTTGGAACTTATAGTAAATGAGCAGGGTAGGCCTTGAAGCTATATAATGCTTGTATAGTTTTTGCATCTGGTTTAGGCACTAGGTAGGGGATAATTGGGTTCATGCACAACCATCAATTGCACCTTTACATGATTAGTAGGGAAGAGCACATTGTGAATCATAGTGCTCCAAACAGTGTTGTGCATGAGTCTAGTTGCAACCACGTGCAAGTATAGATGTTATCTAGGAACTCGATCTCAAACTCTCCATAAACAAAAGGACAAAAATGTTACACCACATGAGAGAAGAGTAAAATAAATAAAAAGAACAAGATTAAGGAACTTAGCAACATTACCTCAGGTAGTTTTGGAAAGGGGATGCCTGTGCAGATTTCTTTCACACTTGAAGGGCTAAACTCTATTGCTAAAATCCCTAACACATGCCCCTTGAGCAACATTTTAATGTATTTATTTTTCTTCTCCATAATTGCTTGGGTCTTATGAAGCTCTTGCCACATTAAATCCACCTCTCCAATAGTGATAGTCTTTTAGGTTTCTTTAGGGCCTTAGCAAAGTACTCCTTCTTGGTTACTCTAAATCTTGCACCCCAAACATGAGTAGGGTGATCAACATTCCTTAAAGCCTTCTCCAAGACATCCTCGTTAGGAGGTAAAGCTCCTGATTCTACCCCTTGAGATAGGGTCACCTGTGAATTATACAATAGAGGAAAGTAAATATGAATGCCTAGGTCCTTTAAATACAAATGAATAAAAAACTTATCACACAATAAAAGAAAGAAACTACTACTTACAATTTTGTCAACAATCTCCTTCACATGGGGCTCCAGAATAGTTTACTAATTATATGTTTGTACCAAGGGCCAAAGCTTGCCACGAGATATAGAACCCTTTGATCCTGCTCCTTTAAATAGTCTTTCTCAATAGCAACATAACTCTTATCCTTTCAAGAAGTGATATTTGTTCTTCTTTACCCTCACCTTGTTTATGGTGCTTATTCCCTATGAAAACAAAAAATATTTGAGTCAATGTAAATATATAGGCAATAAAAGCTAACATTGAGGAAGAAATATTACCTTGAACTCTTTACTATGACAAGAGTCAATAAACTCAGCCTATTGATTCATATTAATCACGGATCTCAGGATGGGGGGAACTTCATCTTTAATGCCTACTATGTTTGGGTTCTTCAAGAGTTTTTGGGTTACCCATGCTCTGAAACTGTAACGGATATCCCAGCTTTTTGCAAAACAAACTTCTTTTGACTCTCGTCGAGCTTAAATCCAAATTGCAAAAGACGTTAATCATATTCTAGATTAGTTGAAATTTTTATATAAAAAAGTTTTCAAATGACAAATAAGAAATATCTTACAAAGACTGCGTTTCAGACTAAATCCTTCAATGAATAGGTGCCTTTACCCAATTCGCCATACTGAGTGGTGTATTAGCTTTAGCAACTAGTGTAATATAGCTCACCAAGTTGTCCAAGTCAGTGCATTAGCCTCTATTGTTTCACTGAGTAGATAGCTTTCTCCTAAGTGCTCTTGACCTCACAACATGCTCATAACTACCGAACCCCTCCTTAATCTCTCCTCTTTGTCTCGCCCACCCTGCTGCTGGTAATCAGTAGTAGAGGCAAGAATAGGATCACTTTATTGAGAGCTACTGTCAGAGGAATGTGATTATTGTTTCTTGTAGCCACTTAATCACCTGTTCAAACAAAAAAATTGAATTAAATTAAATCAAACAACTAAAATAAATTGGGTTAGATCAAACAAACAAAATAAACTAGATTAAATTAAATCAAAAAATAAAATAAATCAAGAAAAAATTATTTACATGTTCAAAGTTGTTCTTTTTCTTTCATTTGTCTCAACTTTTTTTCTTAACAATTGTCATTTTTAACAATTTTTCAACACTGAAAGCAACAATAGATATTATAAAAGGTTAAAGGGAATTTTTTTCTTTAAAGTATTCGCTCAAGAGTACCTAATATCCAAAACTTTCATATGGTATAAATTTTCCCTTACAATTTTTGAAAATGGTGCATTGAGCACTCTAGCGTTAAAAATGTTAACTTCAATAGTCATGAACTTACGTGACAACCCAAAAAAAAAAATACCAAGGAACACTAAATAATTTTAGTTTTCCCCTTGAAAAATTTCAATTGCCACCCTCACATCAAATTATCCCCTCATAAAATTTTATTTATCCCACTAGAAAATTTATTATCCAAAATTATACTCCCTCTGTTCAAAAATATAAAATATTTTTTATTGAATCACATTTCAATAAGTTAATTATTGTCTTTAAACTAATACTATTTATTCATATTGGCTCTTATTTAATAGGATGTTTCACTTAAAAGGAAAGGATTGAGTGGTTGTTTATTAAGGGTATTTTTGAGGGGAAAAAAACTCATTAACTACACATTGGAAAACTAAAAATTCTTATTTTTTGAACATCCAACATCCAAAAAATGCCTTATATTTTTTAATAGAGAGAGGGAGAAGGGGGGGAGAGAGGGAGAGAGTGTGTGTGTGTTTCATAACTTTAAATAGCAATAGTTTTAAAATGGAAAAGTAATAATTTTAACATAAATTGTTTATGAAAAATTTTATCACAAAAAAATTGTTTATATAAAGAGAATCTTTTATATTATTATAATGCTATGTTTTATGCATTGTTTTTAATATTTAATTTTATTAACTTCTACCATTGATATAATTTAATAGATATTATATTTTTTTTATAAAAATATTAATATGTATTTGAAGTGCAAACTATGCCTCCAATGATTATTTTTTGGTCCCTCACTGATAATAGTTAATAAAACAAAAAATTACAAAATAAATTTAAAAATTACATAAAAGGTCACATAGAATTACAAATAAGTACCTATAAGAAAATCAATATTAATTAAGTCCCTAAAATGATGGTTGATCAAAATCATATTTTTGCATTTTACCTAATTTTTGAGGTTATTTCTTGAAATTTTAAAATCAACTAATAGTCAAAATTAACTTTTTTAACAGTGTGATGTTCAAAGCCCCATTTTTAAAAATTGAAGGGAAAAATTGCACTGCACAAAAGTTTAGAATACTAGTGGCTCCTAAGTGATTAGTTGAGGGCAAAAGGCCCTTTAATCATAGTTTAAATGATGAGCTTTTCTAAAATCAATTTTTTTTCACATCCATGGAAGTCGATGTTATCTTTTCACTGAATCTTCTTGATCGATTTATCCTATTCACATTTCAATTAAGCTCTTGGATTTCTACCGGGGCCAAAAAAAAAAAATTAAGCTCTTGGATATGTGCACAAACTAAAATAAGGATAAGTTTGATTCCATGTTCAGCCATTAACCATGGCAACCTATCTTGACTTGACTCAGGATCTGGATGGACTAAAATGAACAAAAAGAAAACTTGTTTTGGGGAGTTACTTTTCGTATAGATAAAAATTTTAAATACTTCATAAATAACGATGAAACAGATAGATTATTTAAATACATCATAAAAAAATACTCATAGACATGCTAGGTTATTGATGAAGCCCTAAGTCACATTGGTCCATCAAATAAAACTAGAATGTAGTTATGAACATTCTAGATCATGTCCCTAGAGAACAATGCATACAAACTTCTATTTCAAATGCCAACAAGTTAACAAGAGTATGAGAGTGATTAAAGGTTCAGCTTGATCTACAAAATGCAAGAATCAATGTTTATAATTTCGGAATTTAATGAGATAATATGAATATGTGTAATGGAGAGCCCAAGTAAGAATCCCTAGCAATTGTCCTTAAATTCCAAATTTGAATCCACACAAGCTATCTCAATTAGCCTAAGATAAAACACTTAAAAGCCTTCAAAGTTTAACATCATGTCCAGCCTTGTTCACACACCACATGAGTTGCTGACCAACTAAGTGGCAAAAAAACAACTTAACCTAGATTCATATAACTCATATGGATCTAACTCAAGCATAACATGAACTTTGATTGAGAGTCAGCAAGAACACATGAACAACCTAAGAAAATTCAAGTCAATTCATGAATTCTTGAATCTGAACACAACATTAAAACTTTAATTCAACAAGCATAATCTCAACTAAACGTGAATTGGAATCACAAATTCAAAATCAGACTACAAACTCAAAATTCCTTAAGAATCAAGAAGAAATTATGAAATTGAGAAAACGCATGAAGAGAACAAACCTAGAACTCTCAAATTGCTAAGTCATCTTCCTTGGAGCTCAATGTTAATCAGCCATTCATGCTCCTCTCCTTCACTTGAATGAGTTCTTGAGCTTGAGAAGCTTCCATGGATGAATGTATATGAAGATATGAAGCTGGAATTTGTGTGCTGCAATGGACGAAATTGAGGCTGGATAAGGGAAACAATCTAGATGAAATGGAATGTACACTACTAGAAAAATAGAATTTAGCAAGGGACAAATTCCTTACTAAATGTCATTTTCCCTAGCTAAATTGCGTTTTAGTAAGGAATTTTGTCTCTTGCTAAATTTATAGCTTAAAAAAGGACTCGCTAAATTCAGAAAGAAAACGTATTTCCCTTGTTAATTTGAGGAATTTTAGCAAGGGATTTAGTCCCTGCTAAAATTAGCCAGGGACTGAATCCCTCACTAATAGTGTTCAAAATTCAATAATTTAGCGAGGGATTCTCTCGCTAATTCTTCGCTAAATATGTCTATATTTAAAAATAGTGATGCCACATCACCGGCCATGTGTGTGTGAACTTGTGACATATTACCAACAACCTGTGCCTCATCAACCGCCATATCACCTATTATCTCATGCCCCATTATTCATCACATGTGCAACAACTCATGACATATCATTGTCTACCTTGCACCATGTCACTTGCTCCTTATCATGTCATATATTTATTATTTTTGCCAAAGCCAAGACTTGAACCCTTGATCTCATACCTTCTAAGCCTTATTCTCTCCTTTTTTACCAGTTGAACTAAAAGGCACTTGTAGTTATTATATAAGAAGTTAAATATATATTATTTAACTACATAAATATATCAAATAATATATTATAAAAATACACACATATATACATATTAAATTTTATTTTCAATTATTAATATGTTAAAAATATTTATATTTTATTTAAATTATTCTTTATATTATATTTTTTATAAAATATTATTTTATTAATGAAAATCAACTTAAAATAAAGAAAATATTAAATATTAAATAATTTTATTATGTATTTAGCTAATTTTTAAATTTAATTTTTATTTTTAAATAAAAATAATTAAATATATACTTAAAAAATTAAATATATAAGTAAATTTGCAGTAATTAGCTAGGGATAGAATCCCTCACTAAATCCCTCACAAATTATCTTATTTTAAAGAGGAATTGATAGTCCCTTGTATTTTTTTCTCGCTAATTATCTTATTTTAGAGAAGGATTGATAGTCCTTCGCTATTTTCCTCGCTAATTCTCTCATTCTAGAAAGGGAGTAGTAGTCCCCTCACTATTTTCCTCACTACTTCTCTTATTTTAGAGAGGGATTGACAATCCCTCACTATTTTCCTTGCTAATTTTGCTAATTTTAAATCAAGCTATAAAATCAATATCTCTCGTTAATTTTTCTCACTAATTTGATATCTTGGAGAGGAATAGACGTTCCCTCACTAAATTTTTTCATTAAT